GTTGAGTAGGGTCGAAACCTTTAGCTTCATAGATTCGCTTCAATGCTTGAAGCCCGACGCGCTGTTGAATCAAAGGTTGAGCTCCACGGACGATTAACCAGGATCTCGATGGCCATGACGAATACGTGTAGAGGTCGTCATTGGCGCTGCGTAATCCTTTGATTTGGGAAGCTGCAGTGTGATGGTCCTGGAGAGAGAGTCGTAGTTGTAACCCAGTACTTTGTGGTCGTGTTGTGTCTCCAACATGACCGGGGGCCGATAGAACTCCAAGGAGAGGAAATTGTCCAGGATGGCTGAAGGGCCCGCGGAAGAGCGTAGCAGAATGAAACGGTTGTCAACATCTCGTTCATGCCAGATAACGCCAAAATCTGGTAGGCGGCACTGTAAGAAGATCATAGTTTGATGCAAAAAAAATCCTCCACGGCGGCGACTTCCGAGGTGGAGCAGCCGGTGATCCCATTGCTACTCCACGTCCTTGGCGAAAAAGGTACCCATTAATTTCAAAGTGGCTGCTAGCGATGACAAAGTCCAGGAGGAGCTGTAAATCTTCGGCGTGAAATACTCGAGGAATCTTAGTCATTCGGCACCATGTTCCTTTGAAGATGCGCCTCCTGTAATCGGATTTGATCTCGAATACCAACCAATGCGCCACATTCTGAAGACCAACTTTGAGGTTGTATTGATGGAGGAGAACTTGAAGAGCTTTATGAAAACGTTCAACCGGGATGGACGTGAAAAAACCTGATAAATCATGCGAAACGAGTTGAACGTACTCCTCCGGATCAGCGTTGGAGAGTGCATCCCAAAGTTGTCGAATGAGGTCTTGTACCGAAAGTTGACCTGGAATGTGTTGAAAGGTGATCTTGGTGAGCTTAAAGATCAGAGCACCCAAAACTGTCAGAAGTGGGGCAGCCCATGTGCGAAAAAATGAAATAGTGGGCCTCGCTTTCATCCAATCCTTGCTGGGCTTGGGAAGAATTCTGGCTGTGGGCAATGGTGCTTGTAGCCGGAGTCCCCAGGCATATTGACGCTGGATTCGTGGAGGTATCGTGGTGAGCATATGAGCCCGGAAAGCAGCAGCTGGCTGACGAACAAACACTTCACCAGTGCAAAAAGTGATCGAGAGAAGAGAGCAGGGGAACAGAAAGGTCTTTAAGATGGACACCGTTGGGATGATCATCTCTGTTGTCCAGCGCGAAGAAGAAGTAAGATTGCTGTGATGTTCATCAATGATCTCTTGTAGAATGACCTGCATGTCCGTGAGGAATGTCGAGGTCTGGAGTCTCAATCTGCACGCCAGTCGACGAATTTTCTGACGTAGCTGATCAAGTAGTTTTTCTGTACTTCCGTAGTATTGATCTTTCATGGATGCAGCCATCACGTCGGGGTCGATCTCGGAGAACACTGACTCGAAATGAGAAAGAATGACGGCATGTGAGTGAGCAAAAAGCAAATGTTGTGAAGAGACGTCCAAGCACGAACAACGAAAATGAGTGTCTGGAGTCCATCTTTGTTGCCAGCCGCGATAATTGAAGATTCGATCACCTAATGTGGCACTGCGGGTCTCAATAACGCGGATCTTGGGTAGGAAGAGTGAAGGAAACAGCTGCTTGTGATCTGCGACCCACTGCTTGAGCCAGATTCCAAGTCTTTGCTACCAGCGCGTAGCATGTGTAGGAGGAAGTAGTAAGTTGGCAGAGGATGGTGGTGTGGCAAGGCGGCGTTTTCTGAGGATCACGGCGATGTGTTTGGCTTTGGAGCGGAATGGCGCATTGACGAACTCAACCAGCCGAAGAAGGTAGTATAGCTGTGTGGGTGGAAAGGCGGCCAAGAGTAGTTTGCGGCCTCAAAGGATGCTCCTGTGTCTGAACCCAATTTGTAAAGCAGGTTGTAGTGCGCTTGAACATCATCAAGAGCTTGAGGTCGTAGTTGGCGATGTAGATGTGGGTGTAAACGTCGGCGAAATTTCTTGTGTAGAGTGTGCGAAGCTGGAGCTGACATGGAATGACGACGGAAGTCAACAAGGTGGTCACGATACCCCAGTTTGCGAAGGATGCGGTGTACCCATGGAGCATTAAGTTGTGGTCGTAGAATATATTGCCACCTGCTCTCCTGGGTTCTTGTATTTCAACGGGTGCGGCACAGTATAACCAATAGTTCTGCGCACGTCGCCAGTAGTGAAGGGCAGGCTCAAGAAAGGCATGCTGATCACGTTGAAGTTGGAGAGACTTGCGACACCTGGAGCGCTCTCTATGCAGAACATCATGATCAGTTGCACCGATGGAATATGGCATGAACCATGGTGAAATTCGATCATAGACACATGGTTGTTGGAAATGAGCATCATCCTGAAGAAAATCATTAAGATCAGGTAGTCAAGCACGTAGGGAACGCAAATAGCGATGTTCAGTAAATGAGGAAAACACATTGTCACGGAACAGCGCGGCCTTGTAGAAGTGCAATACTTCGAAAAAAGCTGGTATGTATCCATTGTCCTGTAGAACGAGTCGTTGAAGAACACATAGAAGCAAAAAGGCTGATAGTCGACAGCGATGAAGTTCATTCCGATTGGCCGTTGGATTGCAAGTGCTCGAGAACGCGCTCGTAGGAATCTGCAATGAGACCCGAACCAGTGTAAGCGCTTCAAGAATCATATCAACGTGAGCCAACTTCAAGATTGCTGCGACTTCATGAGCAGGTACCGCAGGTCTAGGTAGTTCAGGAAAGGCAAAAGCCCAGCAAGCAGAAATGAACGCCAACGAGCTGAGGAAAGTGGACAATGAATGCCAGCGAACCAAATCATCGAGAATCCCACTCAATCTAAATTCAGACCACATGATGAAAGCTGCGAATGCATGACACAACACACTCCGCTCCCATGTTCATGATATCAGCGCAATGCAACATGCAAGCAATGAGCATGATTGCGCACAACCAGCAACAACGCACTGCAGCAGAGCAAGCAATCTTTTGCTTGCGCAACTGTGATGGCAGAACCACTCCGGGCTAATAGGATAAAAGACTCAAGCGTTCAATCAAGCAAGAGTGCGTGCTGTGACAATTAGAATGCTTTGTCGGCAAGCTTGGTGATGTGGCCGGGCTCCAACCCCCACATGGCCGCCATGGATGGGAAAGATGCCGCGTCTCCATTGGCGACCCGTTGGCGTGCTTGTTGAAGCAGAACAGCATGAGGTTCAAGGTCACGACTGGCGTTGAGACGCGTAGGATGGTTAGCCCACTTGAGCAGGGAAGTTGGCGTTGACATAGTGGGAGCATGCTTGACAAACAAGCGTGGCATCGGGCTTTTCCACGTGTAGTATTCCAGGATCTCCTGAGGCGAGCTTTGATCAGAAGGCGGAGATAGCGCATGATGGCGGAATCAGTGGCTGCAAGCATCGGATCATCCTGCTTCTTGTCATGAGGCGGACGAGGAGAACGACCATGTAGTGAATTGAGAATGGGGCTCTTCGCGATGTTCTTGTCAAAAGATTTCCCATCAACGGCAGCAGCACTAGCCATGGGTAAAATTGCACTTGGTGTCACTGACTCTGAAGGCGTGGAAGGTGGGCGGCGTGGTAGCAGCGGAGGCATCGTGAGCTTTGCGTGTCGCGGCAAGCTCAGCTTTGAGAAGCTCATTTTGGCGTTGGAGTGAATGACAATTCGCGACTGCATCAGCGTTGGGTGGCCGCGGTGAAATGGCTTGGTGCTGCTGCGCAAGGTGCTCGAGGATGTTGTTGGCCAAATGCACATGAATCTTGATGCGCTGATTGAAGTCCTCCAAGTTGAGCCCCAGGGGGCTGGCAGTGTCCTTCTCGAGGGTAAGGAGGTTGAGCTGCTGAGATCGGCGTACCATGTATTGCTTGAACTAAACGTACATCACGTGTGAGGAGTATTGACTGAAACTGGTAGAGTGAAGGAATAGAGCTGGCTGCGATCCAGAAGACCTTCTCCAGAAGTCCACTCCACCGGAGGTGTGAGCCAGCCCTAGGGCCTGAAGTCAGGCGTTGAGTGCTCTGTGCAGCTGAAGAACTGGGCGCAGCAGAATTCGCGAATGTAATCTGTGTTGGCATAGGCTGGTGCGCAGGTAGCTCATGAGGGGCACGGTGACATGGATCAAGCGCGGTGAAACCGAAGCTGCGTCATTGGGACCCTGCCACATCGAGGGTTAGCGCGGTGAAACCGAAGCTGCGTCATTGGGACCCTGCCACATCGAGGGGTTGAGCCAATCTTGAGAATCTGCTTGGCGTTGATCCTCATCACGCTCATTACGTCTGCGTGCTTTGCGAGGTGTCGATTCGGATCGCCCACGGCGGTGCCGAGTACGAGAACGTTCACGGTCATCACGGCGAGGCATGATCAAGCGCAAGACGAGGATTCCAAAAGTCCCAACGCTTGAGACACAAATCACTCAAAACCATGGCGCAAGCATGTGAATGCAAGACAGCAATGACAATGGTCAACGGAAGCGATGTCAGTGGTGTAGGAAGTGGTTGACGCAATCTTCGGTCTAGTGATCGACGCCAATGTCCAATTAAACGGCAACGCCGTCCCGGAGCCACACGATGGGTGCATCCGAGGGTCCCCCGAAACGGGGTAAACACACTTGAACTCCCGAAGGAGGTTGCTTATCTTCGAGTACAACTTTCGAGTACAACTTTCGAGTACAACTTTCGGCTTGCACGTCACTGGGCTTCTCTCTTGTGTCGAAAACGTTACCAAATCCAACATGAAGCACACACAGCGAAAACAAACAACGGGCCAAAGGGACGTATCATCGGCAGGTACACGGGTTGGCGTCCCAATCCGCATCACCAGGGCTGCATGGGCGTCTTCGTTGGCTCCCGTCCCATGCAGGCTCCGAGAGCCCCTGCTATAGGTGGTTCCAGGGCAAATCTGGAACTCGGCACACACACAGACATACCTCCCCCCAAGAAAATAAAACAAACTTCCCGTTCCCCACCCCCCCCCCCCCACCCCCACCCTCTCACCAAGCCCCTGGCGACTGAGATCTCGGACTCCAGCTTTGGCACGGCCTCCGCGGCTCGGACCCCCAAAAGTGGCATGCAGAGCACTGAGGTGGTTCTTTCATGACCAATTGGGGAGAGAACTCTTTAAAATGGGGCTTGTCCTGTTGGTTCCCTTGAAAAACGGAGTCTCGAAAAGACGAGCGAGCCATGTGCGCGAAGCGTTGTTGGAGTCCCTTCAAACCAGCCCCAAAAGAGAAATAAACACTCACATGACTGCACGAGGCGACGAGGAAACCTCCTAGCTGTCAAATGCGTTAAGTAGCCTGTGTTGGTCTAGTGTCTACTTGGGGGTGGGGGCACGGCGCCTTGGTGTTTGTTGGTTGGCTTTTGCTAAAGATCTCACCAGAATGCTAAACTATGTAGTAGGAGACGGAATGGAGCGTGTGAAGGGGCCAGCCCGGGATTGAGCCGTTTTTCAGGGGCCCTAAGAAGGCCCCTAGAAAGGACCGGAGGGTGCGGGGTGGTTGAAATGTGGGGGTGGTTGGGGGTTGTGTTGGAACATGGGGCTGTTTTACTTGCAGCCAATAGGCCTTTCCCGTCTGCTTTTCTTGTCGAATCCCGTTGCCTTGTTTTGGGCTATTTGGGTGCGGCTCGTTCGAGTTGGTACGCTTGAGAATGGTTTTCAAGGGAAACCCAAATGACGCCCCGCCCAGAGCCCGCCCAGAGCAGGCTCCCTAAAAAGTTAGCCAGACTTACACTACAAAAAGCTCACATGTTGCTGCTAAGTGGGAGGAAAAAGAGAACGAAAAGTTCAAAACAAAACCAACAAAATGACGATGCCGGGCCAAAACTCTCTGAGGCCTTGGCAAAGCCAATCGCATTGCCAACCCGGGTTTTACATCTGGCTTCGTCTGTCCGGGGGGCCATGTTAACTTACGGGTCCTCCGGATTTACTCCAACTCAACATTATCCATTTGCAGGCATGTGTTCAAGCAAACACAAAGGGCAAGCAATTTCAGGACCCGAACCTGGCTGACATTTGGAACCCGCAACTTCCCCAGACTCCCAACCCACACTGAGGCAAACACCGCCTCAAAGGAAGCTTTGCCCTGCGCGGAACTCGCGGCGAGGTCTGGTGAAACCCTGGAGAGGGCCGAAATGCATGTGCCTCTCTCAAATCACCTTGATGGCTTTGGATTGGTGGGGTGGGAAACCCCACTCTCTAGAAGAAGGGGTTCAGATCCAGTTCCTACTAATCCAAAACACATAGGGTAATTCAGGGTTAAAACTGAAGGTGTTCCATGTTGGTTTCCCTCTAAGATAGCTTCGAAAAGAGCCTCCTCCTCCAGAAACAACGACACACACACACACACACACACACACACACACACACACGTCCATCCATCTCCTCGCAAGAGAAGCGTCTGCTGCTCCAACCACCTACTTCCTCAAAAAGATGCTTAAACATGACATGTGTTCAAACGGGGGCCCGCGAGCATGGGGTTGGGGCCGCGGGGCCGAATCCAAGAAAGACATCAAAGAGACTTCCATTAAGTCAGAATCAAGACCTCGTATCCCCTCCTAATTCTCGGGTTAGGGCTTGGCGCTGTGGTGTGCAGGGAGGACCTGAAAGGTCGCTGGTTGCAGCTAGAAAGAAGGACATCTGCAAACGTCTCCGTACTTTCGGCTTTGGGACCTCCTCAATCCGCGTCACCGGCGGAGGTCTTCGAAGCCCCGTTCCCGGGCTGCAACCCGCAACCAAACCCCAGTCGTGGAGCTCACGAGCTCTCGCAAAAAAAATAAGAAAACACGCGTGCGCTTTGAAAGCACAGAGGAAACCCAAAGCCCATAAATTTTGAGATTCGGGAGGAGCTCCGGGCCTTGTTGAAGTCAGCGAGCTCGTCTTTGCAGTGGCACATGAACTTATCCTGCGCGGATTGACCGCTGGTTTCGGTTCCTAGAAACCAACTGCTCGAAAGACTGGTCTATTTTTGGAAAACCAACGGGTCCGCATGCACTCGAAGCTTCGCGTGTCAGCTAAGTGCAGCCAAGAAGCGTAGAGGTCTTTCTCTTGTTCGCCTTCCTCCTCAATCTTATCAGACCTGGGAGGTGAAGATAGCAAAATGGACTTCGGCCTGGGTAGCGAGGTCACAAGGACATGTCACCGCAGTAAAATAGGCAAATGCCAGATGGATTCCTGGAAACAAATTGCCTATTGAATGAGAAATCAAAGAAATCGGTGTCACGAAACAACGCCCTCGCTCAGCAGGTTCGGCAACACAAAGTGACCGGGAGCGCTCCTGTCTGAAGTGCTCTGACACGTCACCCAACCGCCCAAACCTTCTTGACGCTAACTGGAAGATGCTAGGTTTGTTCGTGAACCTCTCTCTGAGACGAAGCAGTCGTCATCATTCCATGCTGTTTCGTTTCTCGTTGAACCCGAAATCAAATCCTCAAACTGACTTGAAGCCCCATGGCCCCCTTCTGCGTTTTGACCATATTCATCTAGCGGCCCTGTTCCATGTGTTTATCCATGGAGGCGCCTGGAGTCTATGTTGTTTCGCAAGGGAACACGGGCCGACGTGACAACATTGCCACCACTGTCCCTTCAAAAAATAGATGTTCATATCTCAAAGGAGAAGATCGTTGTTGAAAGTGAACAAAAAGGAGTCGTCCCAAGAGTTGACAATAAACTGACTGCAAGCTGTGTGAGTCTGTCCTCAAGCAGGGACCTCTTCAAATGGGTTGTCCAACGCCGTGTTTTTGTTTTTGAGACGAGCGCGACGGAAAGGGGAACCGATCCGAGAGTGAGAAGCCTTCCGAAGCTTTCAAGGCTGCGCCGAAGATCCTGGAAGCGTAGAAATCCGGCTGGTAAACAGAGGCCAAAGGAAACCGTCAAGACATGAAGTTGTCACCAGGCTCCGCCAGCTCCCTCCGCTTCGCAGAGAAGAAAGCCCGTACTAGGTTCAGTTTCTTGAAAGCATGCTACCTGGGCCATGACGGCGCCACACAGTCGACTTTCTCTCGGCGTGCGGCATCTTCTCCATCATGTTCACCACTTTCCTGCCAGATCCACGCAAGCGACAGCTTCAGTGACATACGCCTAAGCGCATGGTGGCGCTTGCAAAACCAGAAGGTGGCATTCCTGACCCTGACTTTGGGTTAGAAAATCGCCCTTTTGGGGAGGTTTCTCAAAATAAGGGTCCCCGAAATGGTGTTCCCTTTAAAGCGCAAACCAAATCGAGGTATTTTGAGAAACACTCTTATGCCTAGATCAACAGCATTGGTTCTGACCAGCTTTCGCATGTTGAAGCCACAGCCCAGCACAGCCTGATCAACGACAAAAAAAACCGACAAGCGTTGCCCAGGTTTTTAGAGCGAAGCTCACGAGCAAGCAGCAAGAAGCAACCAAAATGGGTGAACTCCCTGAGGAGACTCCCATAATTTGCTGTCCGATCCCAGCTATGGGAAGGAAACAAGCTCTTGCGAGGCTGTCGTCAAAATCAAATGCACTCCCTGAAAGGCGGAAGGCCACCTCTCTCAGTGTTGAGGGTAGCCTTCTTGGAGCTTTAGAGGGAACCAAACAGAAAACCACCAACTTTGGGGGTCCTATTTTGACCACATACACAACTCGCGGCAGAGTGATAAGGAGAGGGTTGGCAGCCAAGTGGTGCGGGCAGCCTTGAATACCCAACGAGCCACAGGTAGGCTGAGGCTCGAATGCCGTCGAAGAACAGGCTCATCTCAAGCTCGCCCAGAAAGTCGGGCTCCAACCAGGATTTTCCAACATCTGCTGATCAAGGAACTAAGAGGTTTCAACAATTGTGCAAAAAAGCAAAAAAGATGGCGTCCCCTTTGCACCTGCCAAACGACCAGTCCACTCGCTGCTCTCCCATTTTGACTCGTCCTGATGGGGTTGGCTGCGGCATTGGTCTTTGTGGCCGAGGCTGGGAGCAGCAAAGCCTCCAGGTTCCAAGAAATCCGCTCGAAAGGCTCACCGTGAGTTGCTTGACCTTTGGGGTACATCCCAGCAAGGGGCTGTCAAGCCGAGCGGGAGAAGGTTCTTAAATCTTCCGAAGGTTCTTGGATGGTAAACGGATGGCAAGCACCCAAAAAAAGAGAATTACCAAACAACGTTTCCTCTAAGAATAGTGGTTTTCGTGGGTGTTGGGCAATCCCAATCGTACTCAGGGGAAACGCCCGCAAAGGTGGACGACCCTACCTACCTGGAACCTGAAAAGAGATACCTGGGTAGGTCCCTTTGGTTTCCCTTCCAGAAAAGATGTCGGGAAAAGACGCAAACGTCAACTTGGAGAGTAGTGTCAACTTCGGATTGATCCGGGGAACCGTACCAAGGGATTCCAGGTCCCCACAAAAAGGGTGGCTCACAATTAGTTCATTGGAACATTCCAGTTTTTACTGCCCAGACTGAAACCCAGGGGTACTCTCCAAGCCAACGAAGTCGGGACTGAGTTCGGCGCCAACAGGAAGATCTTCATGGCCAATTGAGCCTTGGAAAGCCACTGAGCTTGAGTCGCAAATGAAAGGGCGGTTATCCGCACCCATTTATGGTTGGGACTGTCCCTGACTACCCTCATTTGATTGTGGTTCAACTGGGCTGCCAGCACAAGCCCTGCACACAACCCGAAGGTGTCTGGTATTCGTGCCTTGCCAAGCGCCAACACCAAACGGACTCAGCAGTCTCAACACAATCCAGAATCTGTGGTGTTTCAGACTCAGCCAAATACAGGAGAAACAGTGGGAAACTGAAAAACAAGATAGGGGAGAATGAAACGAAATAGTTTTAGCATCCACCGCGCCAACAGCTGGGCGCTGAACTCGCGTGTGGCGCAGCTCGCCGCAGGCTTCGTTGATGCAAATGTCCCTTTTTTCACCGAAGGGCCGGCTTGAGCCAGAGGTCCCGAGCTCAATTCAACACCCTGGTATTAAGGGGTTCCCCCGGCGCGAACCATGACGAGTCAGCGTGTGCAAACAGAACGCTTGGTACCCCGCACACAATTACGCCAAGCTAAAGTGCCAACACCAGCGCTGTGGCTACTTTGTTGGGTTGTCTTAAAGGGCAGAACCGGGAGTTTCCCTACTAAAAGCTAATGTTTGGTGAAGTGTGCGGTTTGGTTTCATCCGTCCGCAATGGCATCGCTCGCCTTCTTCAAAACCTGTTTGCGTGTTTGCTGTTTGGGTGTCCGTCGTTGTTGTTGTTTTTTTTTTTTTTTGCGTGAACTGGCAGGTACATTTGTTCTTTGACTTCTTGGAAGTCTAAGCGGCGTTTAAACCCAAAAAATGTTGTGTTGTGCCAAAACGCAGGATTATTCAGGTGTTTTTTTTCAGGAACCAAGTGAGCAGTTAAGGTCACATCAGAGCCATGTCGCCTTTCAGCAGGCGTTTGGCGCAAAGCGGCGAGTGGGCGAGGAGAATTCATCGCCCACGCAAAACCATAGTTCTATCACTTCACTCTACTGTAACCTCTCTGTGAGTAACAATGTTGGTCAACTCTTCATTGACTCTTATTCCTGCTGAAAGGATTTCCGCCTAAGCCAAAGGCTCTACCCCAAGGATGCCCTTTCCGTTGTACCCCGACTGGCCAACTGTGTAAATGCAAGTTGCCGAAAGCAAGCCAAAAAAATGGAGGAGGATACAACCTCGTGTGTGACATGCATCGTTGACTCGGGCGGAATTGGATAGCCTTCTTGTGGAGCTTAGGGAATAACCTTTTGCCATGCGGTTTGGCGGTATGTTTAAATATATATATATATATGTATGCGCGTGTGTGTCTGTGTGTGTGTGTGTTTGTGTTTACTAATTGTTGTGCGTAGTATGGCGGGGTGACGCAGTTTCCCATGTACTGGTACGGACTGCAGTGGTCCAACATAAGGCCCATGAATGCGTGTTTGTCTCTCAGTCTTGTTATTATTGCGCAAATATGGCGGCGTGGACCGTCTTTTGCGGCTGTCCTGCTTGATCACGATCTTGAACCAAGCGTTGTCATGTCTGATCTTGACATGAGCAAAATCGACATACAGTGTGAGCTATCACAACACGGCCGTCCAGCTTCGCCGGGGCACGGGAGGGCTTCTTCACCAACATCAGAGCAGACAGGTAGCTCGACGAATGCCAATAGAATGTGTGACACTTGTTCTGACAGAGTGCAACGTCCGCTTGTTGACCTGCTGACAGAGTTCCGTAGTGTCCCAAACTGGTCATGACCTTGAATGTTGTTGACATCGCTAACAGCATTCGTGTACTTTCAGACTTCGCGTTCTTCAAAGTATCGGCACTCTGTTTCGTCGCGCTGGGAATATTAATCCTCGTTCAATCAACTATGTCTAACGTTCACAGGCCATTGGGCGCATGGTGCCTCACGCAAAGCAGCATCCAAGTTCCAATTCTGGTGGTTTTCTGGTCACGAGTGACATTGTTCAACAAACCGAACTTCGAGTCCCATGGCGTCGGCGATGATTCATCCTTGGTGCTTTGACAGCGCTGGACATTACTGCAACACCGGTCAAATGTTGCCTGCCGATGTAAGTCAGGGATGCGTGGCACAGTTGAAAGTCGCACACATGCAACAGTGTTGTCCATAGCGCATACGCGCCCGTTGAAACCTGAAACCGCTATAGCACTTGCAAAGAAGCAAGGCCCACCTGTTAGAATCTTGATCACTGCTTCAATCCGTAAGGGAACACGCATCAAGAGACAAAAGAGAACGACCGACAAAGGGTGCGCTCGCTTTTTCTCTTTACAAGGCGTTGCTTGGAACTTAAGGCTCGGGGTGCAGGGGGAAAGACAGTGCGTGTCCTTTCCCCGTGTCTGCACCCCCCTGCGGAGCCTTCTCAAATGCCCCCGCGGTCAACAGAGCGTGTTCGACCAAGCGCCAGGTGTATTACCTGTGAGGCGTTAAACAATCGAAGGCATTGGTTGCTGTAGGATGCTCTGCGGGCAACCTACTGGTGTGCATGCGGCACACAATGCAAGGCTGAGGCATGCCGAGGCAGTGACTGCATGCTGCGGCATGCGATCGCGGTAACGGCACACACTGCAGGGCTTTGGCGGCATGGGCATCGCGTCCTCGGATGTGTCGTCGCTTGCCTCTGCGTCGCCTTCTTCATCGCTGCCTTCGGAGGCATCGTCGTCGCTGCCCTCGCCGAGCTCTTCGCGCAGCGCCCGGCTGACGGGAGAGCCCATCGTGGCGATGTAGCGCAGCAGGAAGTGGAAGTCGTAGCCGCCCCCGTTGTGAAAGACCACGGGGATGGTGCAGGAGTGGCACAGCGCCCCAAGATACCGCCCGGCGCCGTGGCAGTGGTGGAGCTTCTTCTCGGCCCTGTGCTCCAGCTCCTCCCGCCAAGTCATGCTGACGGGCCGAGTTCGGCGTTCCAGATGAGGTAGTGCCTGAGAAGGTCGTCCAGAATGGAGCGGACGGCGTGGAACTTATCGCTGTCCCGCTCGTGGTGCGTGAGCCTCAGCCTCAGCTCCTCGTGTGGCACGTAGCCGCAGCGCCCGACGGCGACGTAGCAGGAAGAAGCCGCGACGGTCTGGCGCGCTGGCTGCCGGGGCGGGCGTGCCGTAGACCTCGAGGTCCGCGTAGCACGTCAGGGGCGCGAGCTCTGCGGAGGCCTTGCCCTTGTAGCGCAGCCAATTCTTCCGTGGCCGGGCGCGGCACTTTCCGAGTGCGCTCGGCTATCTCTCGATAGCACTGGGCGGCGCGGTGGCGCTGCCACAACATCTTCAGGGTGAAGCGTGCTCCTTGCAGCCGCCAGTGTTGCTGGGCGCGGCTCCCAAGGTCAGCCCCTGTCTGCTGGCCAGCGCCTGGAAGTTGTGGATCAAAGAGAAGTGGCCGCTGCGCAGGAGAAGCAGCACGGCGCGCTTGACGCCCGTGCCGCTCGAGGCGCGCTGCTGGAGGACGTGTCAATGGTGAAGACCTCCTGCCCTGGAAGAGCGCGCAGCCGCAGCTCGCGGGTCCCCGCGCGGGCGCAGTTCTGTCACAGCGGCCTCGGCGCTAGGCGCGCGCGGCTTTTTTGCAGAGGCACCGCCCGGACCGAGCTAAGCCACAGGCGGCCCCAGATGCGTTGAGAGAGCTCGGAGATCATGGTGCGAATTGATCTTGAGCCGAATAAACTGCTTTCTATATAAATTAAAAAATATTCGGTGGGGCGAGCGAGGCTTTTTTTCTGTCCGGGATTCTGTATCTACCGCATCAGCGAGTCGGCGGCGCTGCCCTGCAAGTTCAGCAAGGCAAGGAGCTCTCTGGAGGCCTCCTCCAGCTCCTTGCGCGCCTTGTCGACCTGCCGCTCCAGAGCGGCGAGGGTGGCGCTCTTGGCCGCCATCGACACCAGCCGCTCGGCGATTTTCTTGCTGACAAGCTGCTCCTCCACCTCGCAGAGTTCTCTCTCGATCTGGAGAGCAAGTTGATCCTCTGATCCACGATCTCAGCCTGTTCATCGATGGCAGGGTCAACGAGATGAGCAAAAAGGCCACTCATCGTCGGGGGGGGGCGCCCCCGTGATGTCTGACCACGTCCCAATATTCGAACTGCACACCTCATCAGCAAGCTTTGCCCGTGGGCGCGCGTGGCCGGGGTGTGCGGCCTCGCGAAGACGCGCTGCTCGAGGCCGAGCGCCTGCACCAGCAGATTACCAGTGAAACTGCGCGCTGCGTGGAGCAGGAGCGCAGCCACGCCTTTCCAAGCATGCCTGCACGCAGCGGAAGGCCAACGAGAAACATAGAGGCTGCGCGGTTTTTTGAGCAAAGAGCCGCAGAGACGTCGTTCATCTCTTTCCGGACTTCCTTTGGGATCTCGAGCCCATCGAGTCTCTTCTCGAGGACTTTGATCCGCCTCCGAAATGTCCAGCAGCTTGTTGGGGATCGATCGGCCTCAAGCAGCGCATCTTCGCGAGGCCGCTTGCGCAGCGCGTTGAGGGGAGGCCGCTGCACCATCAGAGCGGTTGCAAGGTGGAAGCGTCCTCGCCCACCCACGCAGCGGGTTTTCCAGAAGCCACGCCTGCACGCAGCGGAAGGCCATCGAGGAAGTCATTCTCGCTTGAAGTGGCTGCACGGGGACCAATCGAGCATGCGCTTGGGGCGAACTTTTCTTTGGCGCGGAGTCATTCGCCAGGCCCGGTCCAAACGCGCTCCGCCAGCTCCGCCCGATAGCGAAGAACTCTGTCGTCTTCCTCGAGAATCTTGACGCTGCCTCGATCGCGGGCCAGCTGGTCGTAGCTTGGCGGAGGCAGGCGGCTCTGGCGGGATTGCCCGGCAGGCCCTAGGAGAAGGGGCGCGGCGTGTCTGGACGCGAAGCCTGTGTGGGGCTGCCGGAAGTGCTGCTGCCGAGTCTGCGTAGCGTCGTTCATGCCGTTGACGGACCGGACGTCCTGCACGGCAGCGTCCTCACTGCCCTGCTGAGGCCGGAAGAGGGTCTGCTCATCAATTTGGGTTGTGGAAGGCATCAGATTGGCTTGTGATTTGAAAACTCATTAAAACCACTTGTGAAGGATTGGATTGGCTTGTTTGTTTTTAGATTGGCTTGTGAAAGGATTGACTTGTTATGGCTTTGACAGCTTCGAGCATCAGATTGGCTTGTTAGTTGCACACCGAAATGCCATCGTTCGTTACTCATCATCCTCATCATCATCATCATCATCATCATCATCATCCATCATCATCCATCACCATTATCATTGTCATCATCATCATAATCATCACCAGCGTCATCATCCTCAGCCATCATCATCATCATCATTATCAAAAAGTCTTTGCATCATCATCATCATCATCATCATCATCATCATCATCAATCATCATCATCTTATACCAGGTGCCCTTAAGCAGCTTGAGTCTCTCAACAATACTTGACAAGGAAACCTTGAGCGCAAGCACTCCTTTTCAGCACACGGGGTAGAGCATCAAGGTAAAG